TTATAGCAACTCTTCAAGGGCACTACTTTCCCAGCCTGGTCTAGAGGTGGACACAGAGTCCTGAGGGTGTAGGTGTGAAGCACGTGGCTGCTTCCAGGTGGTTGGGGGCTCAGACCTACTCAGGGGTTCTGCAGGAGAAACACTTGGTGATCTCTGGAGAACCCCCCTGCTGTGTCGCCTGGGGTTGCTGTGAGTAGGCATTGACTGGAGGGTGCACAGATGAGGAAGAAAAGGGGACTGAGGCTAGAAGACTTTCAAGGGCTGCAGGTTGTAAAGGGCAGAGGAGTAGTTCATTGCATGCTGTCTGTTTGCCCTCGGGAGCATGCACTTGTACCACTGTGTAGGATGCTGCCTCACTGTGTGGGATGCAGGGCAGTGCTGGAGGGCCGGAAGAGGTGTTCAGGCCTCAACGGTCATTCCTAGAGCTTGATAAGAAATGTGGATCTGGAGTAGAGAAGTTGGGCCAGAAGCTCAATTGGTGAACGCTCTGAACGAATGGAGTTCTTCTTTTAATCTAGAAGAAGGATCAACACAATTGAGGGGGGAAAGAGAAGAAAATATAAAAAGAAACCTTGAAGGTTTCCTGGTTTTTGGAAGTGACAAGCTAGTGAAGTAGAGGAAGCAGTCGGCTGCTGTAGAGTTGGCCTCTGACACACGGTCCCTGTAGGCACAATAAGACTGAACCGGTGTGCTTCTTAGGGTTTTCATAGGCTGATTTTCACATCTCCAGGCCTTTCTTCCTAGTCTCCATTAGTCTGGGAGCCTCACTGGTACCTGTTTAGCACTGTAACAACGTGCCAGCCTCCAGTACTCTCTGAAGAATGGTGCCTGTGCGTGTGAAGCCAACAATTGAAGTCAGAACTCCTGCATAGGATGCAAGGATGCCTGTTCCCACCAGGAGCACCCACCAGGAGCACAAGGCAATATGATGGCGCCGAAAACACAAAACAAGAAACGAAAACCATTGCTGCTCAGTACATTGCAATGATGCACAGGGATTGTATAGGGCGGGGTAGAATGGACCGCTTCCTAGAGTTCCCCAGGCTGGCGTAAGTACTTAGAAAGCAAACTGTTGCATCTTTCTTCAGTGGAGCAGCTGGTGGGGCTGAAGCACACACCTGTAACTAACCACCAGCCACCAGGAGAGTTTCCAAAGACAGTCTCAACAGGGATTCTACAGTCACTCACTGGCTTTCCAATATTTGGAAGATAGAAAATTATTGCTGATATTAGTGTGAGCCTACCTTACTAAATTTAGCAATTAATCCCCTCAGCTAAAGGGCTCACACCTGGGAAGTGGCCAATTCACATGAAAATTGGTGTGTGTGGCGGTGACGTTAGCACTGATTAGGGTTCGGGGACACTCATCTCTCCTTTTCCTGAGAGTCTGTAAGAATTGCCCCAAAATGGCACTTTAGGGGGGAATGAATATCATTTGATAAACAATGATGCTTATTTATTTATTTAAAAATCATTTTATTGGGGGCTCTTACATCTCTTATAACATTCCATACATCAGTTGAACCAAGCATATTTATACATATGTTACCATCATCATTTCCAAGACGTTTTCTATTTGAACCCTTGGTAGAAGCTCCTCTGTTTTCCCCTCCTTCCCTCGTCCTCCACCCTCATGTAGCCTCGGTATTGCTATTT